GCACATGCTCATATCCTGAAGTAAGAATTCTTCACACAGCACAGCTGCCCCGAGTGCTTCCAGGAACAAAGCGAAGCTTTCCTGATACTGATATAAAAAGACACAAGGGCGCGTGTGGTGCTTGGCTTTGCGATGTGGACTTCGTGCCACGGCTACTTCGATGACTATTGGATTCCCAACGCAGGAATTCTCCCCCAAAACCGATACAAGGGATGAATTACAGGAAAACTAGACTACTGAAAGAAAGGAAAAGCTGCATTTTTTCAAAAAAAAAGCAACCCAGTGTGCCAGATTATTGCTGTGGTTTTAATAAAGGAAATCAGAGACAGGAGGAAAACAGCCTGTGAACCCGGGGTCGATGATTTCTTACCAAAACAGAGTTTCTTGTGTGATAGCACCTCACTATGTAGTCCAGGCTAACCTCAAACCCGTTCTTTTCTGTCTCAGCTTCCTCAGTGCTAGGATTACCAGTGTGTCCCACCACACTCTGATGTCCTGTTTCCCCGAGGGTACACGGGGAGGTTTAGGATAAGGAGAATGACCGAGTTCTGGGGAAGCGGGACCCAGCATAGAGCCTTTGTATATTGGAAAGAGCAAAGCTGTTGGTACAATTGTGAAGGGCCCCTAAGCACAGTCAGAAGAGACGTGAAACCAGGCCACAGGGGACAGAAACACCTGTGAGAGGAATCTGAGTGGCAGTCACCTGGGCAACATGCTCATGCCGAGAGGTACTTCCTACACTTCATTGTGGCACCCTGGGCGTCTAGCCTGACTTGTGGTCATAAATGATCAACAAGAGGCAATGGGAGGTAGTGAGCATGGGAACTTGCTTAGATTCCTGGGGTAGATTCCTGACCTTGCTGCCTCCTAGCTGAGTGATGTGAGCAGCTGGCTCAGTGTCTCAGGTCTCAGGTTCTCCTTGAAGTAAAAGGAGAACAGTTGGGCTTTCTGGTATATGACTCCAATCTCAGCACTGGGGTGGTTGAGATGGGAACTTTGCAAGTTTCATGCTAGCCTGGGCTACATATTGGAGCCCTGTCTCAAAGGTAGAGAGAGGGAGGGAGAGAAAGGAGAAGAAGGAGGAAGTAAATCATAATGATAATACTGATAATTATGAGAAATGACTTTTTAAACAAATGTATCCAACATACACTTATTAAACACCTATTGTGTGCTGAGCCCTGGTCTGGGAAACGGCCTGCAGCCGTGAGGTAGATGAAGTGTATGCTCCCAGGAGCCACACGCCCGAGTACCAAGGTGTGCTGGTACTTCTGTTGAAGTAAAATGTCTGATAAAAGGCAGTTCCGGGGCATAAGGGGTTAGTTCTGCTTACATTTGGAAAGACTACAGTCTACTGTGGTGGGGAAGGGATGGCAGGAGGAGACAGAGCTGCTTGGTCACACTGTGTCAAAAGCCAAGCAGCAGAGAGAAAGATGGACAGCTTGCCTTCCCCTTTTCTTTCAATCCAGGACCCCAACCCATGGGATGGCATTGCCCAGATTTAAGGTGTACTTCTCCAGTCTGGATAATCCCTCCAGACATGCCTAGAGTCCTGTCTCCAACGACTCTAAATCCTGTCAAGTACACAATCAATAGTAACTCTTATAAGAACTGGAGGAGTCTCCATAAGGCTCGGAACACAGCACCAGGTTGTGCTTAGTGGGATGTAACACTGTTAGCTTCATAAGGAGGGAAATGGGAGGGCTGACCATGGTATACCTAGCGTGACTTTTAACTGAACTCCCTCGATGCTTCCTTCTCGGACTCCCAAATATCTGGGACTACAGACACACGCCACTGTGTCCAGCTTGGAAACTGTTTTCTTACTTTCCCCAAGACTAATTTATTTTTAAATCTGTGTGTATATATATATGTGCTGTGTGTATGCACATGTACAACATGCGTGCCCGAGCCTGCAGAAGTCAGAAAATGCGTCAGATCCCCTGGAACTGGAGTTATCGGCCATTGTGAGCTGCCAGGCAAGTGCTGGGAGCCAAACTCGGGTCCCGAGGGAGAACATCAAGTCCTCTCAGACTGCCGAGTCATCTCTCCAGCCCCATGTTTTCCTATTGTTATGGTGACAAATATGTAGAAGTTTCCAATGGCAGATGAATTTAGAATTCTTGAGTTCGTGCTGCTCCTAGCGTGTGTTTGGCAGCTGAAGAACTTAGGTGTTGACATTAGTCAGTGATTAGTCACATGTGTCTAGGAAGTCTCTGAAGGGACCTGGGTGCTTTGTCCTCATGTCTTCTCTTCCCTCAGTTAAGAGGCAAGCACTAGGAAGAGCCCGACTTTGCTGAAATTTGCTCGACAGACTTTTCTCCAAAGGGTCCCTATTATCTTGTCACACATCTGAGGCAGAAAGCAAAACCCATAAAGCAAAGCTTGAAGGGGTTATATTCATCAGGCACCACACAAAACTGTTCTCCCACAACAGTTGACGTTCACGGTGAGTCATGACTCAGGTTTGCCTAGGAGCCTCGTGTGATCGAAGTGCTGTCTGAGGGTGCAGACGGTACAAGATAAATCCAAAAGAGTTTGGGAACATGCTAGCTCTTGTCCCTGCAGACTTCAAGAGCTGAAAAAACAAGGGTAATCACCAGAGAGGCAGCCTGCTTTCTGTATTAAAGAAGAAGCCAGGTAGAATGTGGGCAGCCATCGGTTGCTCTGTCATTGGACAAACATCACTCCGGGGGACTACCCTCAAACCTCTTAGCTGAAGGCAATTCATTAAGCCTCCCCACTAATTCATAGGATTCCCTTTAGAAAGAGGAAGCTCTTTGAAAGAGGGAATTAGGGGCCTGCCCTCATTAATTAAAAATAAACCCTTGGTTTTTCCTGAAGCCAGGAAAGCTTTTGTGTAATTATGGCTTGGTAGGTAAAAGCAATACCACACCTAAAGCCACACCCACCGAGACACTTGGCCTAACTGCCCCTGCAAGTGTAGCCAGGCCTTAGAGAGGCTGCTTTTGTTCTTGTGTGAGCCACCCGAAGCCTCTTGAGCCTGAATGTCCTGGGATGGCCACAAGTGTTGTGATTCACTGGCATATGTGTAAGTGACATCCATATGGTTTCTTCCCTCATTCCCCCAGGAATTGTTTGTTTTCGAAAGAATCCATGAAACAGATCAAACCCCTCAAGGTTTCCCAAAACCCTCTGCGCAGAGTATAACTTCTTAAGGTTTTGTTGTTGTTGTTGTTGCTGTTTAGGGGGTATGTAGTGTGTGAATATCCTATATCTTTTCCAGCACCACCCCACAGTCATAAGCACTTTTGGGGGGTACTCTTTCCCAGGGAATGAATGATGAATTTACTGTGGGCCGCAGAAGGAGGCGCTTGTAAGTTCTGCTCAACTGGTAGATTTTAAAAATAGCTCCTGGATTTTGCAGTGTGGAACGCCATGTGTGAGATCCCGGATGACATGTGTGCCTCGTGTCGCAAAGCCCTTCACAGGTGTCACCCAATTAACAGCATGCCCTCTGACAGGTGGCAGGGGCCCCCTCTGTGGTGTCCAGAAAGGGGCCCCTGCTTGCATGACACTGGCTCAGGACAGTATCTTTGTTTTTGGGGGAGGGGGTGGTTGGGCTGTCTGAAGAGAGACATCCTTTTGGGTCTTGAGCAATTATGAAGTGAGTTTCAATGCCATGCTCTGGAAAGCCTGGCTTTCACCAGACAAAGCTGGCTAGGCAAGTGCTCTGCCTCTGGATTACTTCTTGTTCCAAAGTCTGTTCTTGCCTAGAGGAACAGAACACAAAGGAGAGAGCCCCTTGAAGGCTGACCCACCCTTTGACAGTGTCTGTTGGAGAGACTACAGACAATTGGGATCTTCAAGACAAGATAATGGGTTAAGATAATGCTGAGTCCAGCCCATGTTTAGATGGCTGTCCTTTCTTAGGAATGGTAGCAAGAAGAAGAGACTCAGGTATTAGACTGAGCAAGTATTGGACGGAATCCCTGTACCAAGAGGAGGGTTACTGAGCCATTATGAGAGCAAGGCCTTAGAAAATAAACAAGGCAGAAGGGTGGGTGCAGGCTAGGGAGCGGAGGAAGGCAGAGGCCCTGGAAGCTGAAGCAAGCCTTTTTGTATGATCATCAACCACAGGGTTCAGCACAGCAGTGAGAACTGTGCACCCAGCGTATATCAGACGCCCTCCAGAGACTCGGCCACTCTGAGCATGCATGTGTCTCGGACAAGACCTTGCTCTGTCTCAGCCATTTTTTTGGTGAACATAGGAGAATAAAACATCCCATCAGACAAACTTTTGGGGGAAACTAACTAAAAACATGAAGTGCTGGAAACAGTGTGTGGTGCCCGATACGTATTTGGTGAATACTGTTGATGACAGGCGGGAAGGTAGGAGACTGAGACTATGCTCGTTTCAGTCGCATTACAGTTACGAAACACTCGAGACAGCCAATTGATGAAGGTAAAAGGCTAATTTGGCTCATTATTTGGTCCAGAATCAGATGCCCCACTGCTTCGGGCCCCTGGCACCACACTTGGCAGGGGTCTCTTGCAGAGTCATCCATTGTCTCATGAGTCTGGCATGACAGACAGTAAGAGAAGGAAACTGAGGTCTAACAGTCCCTGAGAGCGCATGTCCACAGTGAGTTGTCGGTGTCTGTGTTAGCTTCCTTTCTGTACTGTGATAAAACATTTACAATCAAGGCAATATATGGAGAGTTTATTTGGGCTTACGGTTCTAGAGGGATAAGCGTTGGGCATGGCATGGCAGCAAGGGGCAGGCATGGTGGCAGGAACAGGGAGCAGGGCTTACACTACATGAAGTGGGGAGAAAATAACTGTCATTGGAAATGGTACCAAGCTTTGGAACTTCAAAGTGTGGCATACTCCTTCCAGCAAGGCCAAACCTCTTAGACCCCCTAGACAGTGCCACCAGCTGGGGACCAAGTGTTTGAATACCCAAGACTAAGGTGAATATTTTTCCTTGTTCCATCCACACCACTACCTCAGGTTCCACTCCTCAAGATTCCACCCCACCCCAACGTGTTGAGTTCAGAGCAGCTGAGTTCAGTTCAGAACAGCTCCCCTGTTCCTCTCATTAAACTTTGGGACATTGAAAGTGGCTAAAGGAAGTGCCTGAATAGAGAATATTCATATATGTCCTAGTCAACACCAGTAGAAAAAATAATCCACCACTTTCCAGTAGCCCTCGTCTGGGGATCAAGTCTTTAACATAAAGACTTATGTGGCATGCCCATCCAACCCGAGACAGGCTTGATTTGTGGATGGAGATCTAGGGGTTGCTCTAGGGGGAGGCAGATGCCAAGTGAGAACCAGTGGGGCACCCTTGGTGGGTGCTTAGGTAGTACATGATCTTGTGAGGTGCACCCAGCAGGCAACCCTGGGCACCTGCTGCCATTTTTTCTGTGGTTAGAATAGCACCTGACCGCAAATCACTTTGATTTTTTTTTTTTAATGTGTACCATTTGATTGAAACTATTTAAGAGTTGTTCTTCAAGGGAACCGTTCTTTGCTTTTATTGGCAATGCCCTCCTTTCTGGTGTCCATGGTGATCTCAGGATAAGTAAGGACAAGTGGCCGTTTGTGATCCCTAACAAAACCCCGGGAACATGTGGTAGGAGATATTTATAGAGCATGGTGTGGCTTCTGCCCTTCACTGAGTGTGTTTCTGTCATTGTTTTTGCTGTGTAGCTTCTGCACACTCCCTTTTTCTTGCTTTATGAATCAAATCTGTAACCATTTATTAATCTACCTCATTAATAAAGTTTAAATAAATTTATAAATTTTCATTGATAATTATTGTGTGTAACACACTGTTTTTTTTGTACCACGAGACCTCCGCATCCCCCTTTCTATATTTTAATATTTTTAAATTCATTCAACAATTTTTTTTGTTAGATACTTGATCTGCGCAGGTACATGGTTAGGTCTTGAGACGATGGTGAATAACTAAACATAAGTACCCTGAAAGCTTTGTTGGCAGAAGAATGTGGTGACCCCCTGACATGGGAGAACCTGACCCAGTCCTAGGGTCCATGGAAGCCAGTGGAAGAGGGGAAGCTTTTAATTTTCTTAGAGTTCTGTCAAAAATAGACTTTAACCTCAAGACTCCAATCATGACCTACAAGGACTTCACCAGTCTTTGCTCAACACTGATAGTTGCTTGGTGATTCCTTCTTTTCTGATTCCACTTCCCATAGACTGCAGCCCTCACGCTAGCTCCAGAACACTTGGTGAAACCTGAGGAGGTTTACATGTTGCTCTGTGTACAATTTATGACAAGGAACTAAAGAATCCTCCGTTTCCCAAGACCACGTGTTCCCTTTAGTACATACAATAGGCGTTTGCGTGAGTGGTTTAGGGCATCTACGTGCTGAGGAACATACAGTGTATTCCGAGATGAGCTTTGGAGCACCCCGGTTTAAGGTTGGACATCTAAGGTTTGTATTTCCTCACCCTGGCTGGAGTTCTGTGGCAAAGGTGAATCCTCTCCCTGGGTTCTCTTTGTCACACTGTGGAAGATGAAGGGAAACTGTTAAGTAGGAATGCTTTGATTTGCAAACATTGTTTTAATTTGAAGCCAGCTTGAACATGGTTTCTTACCACTTTAGACGTTAGGTCTTTAGGAAACAAAAAAGCAGAGGGCCTGGAGAGGTGACCCAGCAGTGAAGAGAACCTACTACTCTTTTTGAAGACCAAAGCTTGGGTCCCAGCACTCATGTCAGGTGGCTCACAACCATTTGGGACTCCAGCTTCAGAGGATCTGATGTCCTTTTCTGGCCTGTGTGGACACTCACACATGCACACCCAATTGAAAAACAGAACCTTAGCAATAAAACCTTTTGCTTTTGGTTTTCACCAGATCTGTTGATATTGTGCAAAACCCTTTAGCACCTTGGCCCTCTAAATATAACTCTCTCTGGGTCTGCTTCCTTTCCAAATGGACCTGTGGTGTTTAGGGACACAGACAGCCTCTGCATCCTGTTTCCCAGGTATATCACTCAGTGTATTCAAACTCTCTGCTTTTATCTGCTGTGCTATGGACCTAGGAAGGACCATGTGTGTTCTGCCCTTGGCCATCATGTCTGAATATGTTTCCTGTTTGCACTTTTCTGGAGGGTTTTATTTGTTTGCTTTTCCTGGGGAGGGGGGGAATTGCGATCCGGTAGGGGAATATTGGCATAGTGGACTGCTTACATACAGATTTTCTGTTCATGTCATAAGTATATGTTTTTTAATTACCACCCTTGTGTTGTTTAGGTGGCTGTGGTCTAACTAAGAAGGGATGAGAAAAAGCTTCCGGTTTTCCTATCTATGCTGAAAAAAAAAAAAAGAAAAAAAAAGAAAACAAAAAAAGGAGACATGGATCAGACCAGCTAAGGGACAAGGAGACATGGATCAATCAGACCATTTAAAGGAAAAGGAGACATAGATCAGACCAATTAAAAGAAAAGAGAGAAAAAGGCAAAATTCTGTGAGCAAAAGTCTTGTTTTGTCTCAGAATTTTAAATTATCCAATGCAATAAAAATAACATAGTATGAGGTGTGTGGTCTGTTTTGAGGGGAAAATTCAAGACAGGGTCTCAAGTAGCCCAGGCTGGCCTCTAATTCAACATGCACCTGAGGATGTCCTTGAACTTCTGACCCTCTTGATTCAATCTCCCAAGGACTAAGATTGCCACCAATTCTGCATCCTTAAATGACAAGTGTTTTACAAAGATCTGTATAGAAGGAATTAGTTATCTTACGACAAAGGCAATTAAAAATCCTTACCACAGGTCTTCAGTGTCGTGGATATGTTAGGTCCTAGTTAGCAATGTGAGATTCTAGTAGTGTGCTCATGTGTGTATGTGACTTTTGAGCCAGAGTGACATGCAATTTCTGAAAAGAATGACATGTAATTTAAATAGAGAAAATTTAAAATTTGCTCTATGGTTGTAAAAGTAGAATCTACACACTGTAGGGAGAAAGTCAGAAAAGCTTAAAAGGGGATAAAAGTTACACTTAAGGTTCCTACTGCCTTTCTAACTCCAATATCACTGTGGCCTTCTGTCTGACATATGTATTTGTTCAGCAAATATTGAATATTTCTTGGAGTATTTGTACATGCATATTTTTATGTCTTTATTTCTGAGATTCATCTTTTAAAATTGTGAGCCTATTTCCTACCCGAAGTAAGTTCTTATTAAGCTATCAACGTGTGTGTGTGTGTGTGTGTGTGTGCGCGCGCGTGTGTATGGGGTACACATATTTGTTGATGTGTGATGTGTATGCATAAGTTTGTGTGTGGGCAGGAGTCAATCAATATCTAGATTCTTCTTCAATGCCCTTTATCTATTTTGAGACAGGATCTTCCATTGAACCTGGGATTCAGTGGTTGGCTAGACTAGTTGACCAGCAAGCCCAGGGGTCCTCCTACCGTCCCCTCCCCAGGGATGGACTTACAGACTCTCAGTGAAATACTGGGCCTTTTATTTGGGTGCTAGGGATACAAACCTCGGGTCCTTGTGTTTTCATGGCAAGAACTTCTCCTGTGGAGCCATCGGCCAAGTTCAAGCTGTCTTTATCTATGGGCCATTTAATCTGCTATCATACGAATGGCATATGCCTTAGCTGGAAAATGTGTCATTTTTGTTTTTCACAGTGCTGGGCCTGGCCCCAGGCCTCACAGGTGCTAAACATGGATTCTTATACTGAGCTACACCACCAGGCCCAAAGTCTGTCTGTCTGTCTGACTCTCTCTCTCTCTCTCTCTCTCTCTGTGTGTGTGTGTGTGTGTGTGTGTGTGTGTGTTCCCTGGGGAGCCCTCCTGTAGGTGATGGAGAGAAGTTGGGTTTTCAAATAAGAATTTCTCTCCTTGGGGGAGCATCAGTATCCTGGCTGCAGTGTTAACGGATGGCGCCCGTTATGGGTACCCACAGTTATAGATGCCCAATGAGCATCACTTCTGTTACAGTAGTTACCTTTTCCACCACTATGATCAATTAACTACTTGGCCGTTGTGGCTGCTTTTCCATTTTTGTGATAAATACCTAGACAAAGGCAACTTAAGGCAGGAAGGGCTTATTTTGGCTGAGGGATTAGAGTCCATGATGGTGATGAAGGGCCATGAGGCCATCCCGTCATGCATCAGCAGCCTGGAAGCAGAGAGCAGGCAGGAAGTGAGTCTAAGCTACAAAACCTCAAAGCCTGCCCCGCCAGTCACATACTTCCTCTAGTGAGGCGCCACCTCCTAATGGTTCCAGAGCTGTCCCAAACTGTACCACCAGCGGCGACCAAATGTTCCACCACACGAGTCTATAGAGGAAAATTTCACATTCAAATTTCAGCATCAACAAAAAGCAAGTTAGAGGGGAAGAACTTCTTTGAGACACATTAAAATATAATACAGTCTGCCATGGCAGGAAACATGGCAGGGGGACAGGAGGCCTCTGGTTGTACGGTATCTACTGACGGTCAGAAGTGAGCATGCCCAGCTGGATCCCACTCTCCCCCTTTATTGAGCGTGATATCCCAGTCCAGTCAGGATGTTTAGTCAACCATCTCTGGAAGTGTCCTTAAAGACACTGGCAGAGCCGCATCTCCTAGGTCATTCCAAATCCAGTCACGTTGGCAAGGATTAACCAACCATCCGTTAACAATCAACAGGATTGTCTTCACGGAGCCAACCACGACTTTCTGTTTGAACTGCTGGAACCCCGCATAATACAGTCGGGTATTTGGGATGGTGGGTGAACTCTGTCTTGTCTCCTCCTCCCCCATCCCCACTGTAACAACAGCGAGAGGAGCAGTTTCAGAGTTGCCCAGAGAGAAAGTTGGCCTTGTGGCTGTGCAGGAACGAGCAAGGTCCTGACAAACGGCGGCTGCTGCTGCACAGTGAGTGGAGATTTATGTTTAGTCCAGAGTAAACTATGCATCCAGGTAATAATTTTGAGCAATGAAGTAAGTTTGCAACAGGAATCGTTAAAGAAACAGATAAATCACAGTAATTTCAACATGGCACTTTTGCCGTTCAATAAATGGGTATTTTAAAATTCATTTGCTTTTGAACTAAGTTCAATAATTTATAGAGTAAGTCATTCGAAGATTAATGCTCAGAAGAAGAAAATCACCACACAAGAACAGAAACATATCATTTATGTATATTACATCGG